AAAACCCAATCAAATGCATATCCTGTGGCTCTCAGCCTATGTACTGAGGCCACTGTTAACTCTACGAGTCATGTACTGAGGGTTTGTTAACTCTTCGGGTACTCCGTACCCATGTGTGGAACACACCAGGTGTAAACCCGTGTAACCCCGTTACAGGTATCGTATCGGTATGGTTGAGGTTGTTGATTCTGCTTACGTACGCACGTGGAATAGAATTTGTTATCGGAGAAGTAGTGCCGACGGTGAAAAAGATAATTTTAAGAAAAAAAGTTTAGATCTATGGGTGATAGATACGTCCTTGTAGCTCGGGAAAAGACACGTAAACTGTGTTCTTTGTTAGCTGGGTGCGTCGGTGTAGTGGACTGAATTGCTAGCCTACGGTGTAGATAAAGGTCTGCGTCCAATCATGTCTGAACACGTGGTACCAGCGATGTCTGTGGAAATATATGCCGGTTTCGATGGATAGTGCTGATGAGACGTTCTTTAAAATGCGTCGAGTAGGCTCTGAGAGGAGATATAAGTCTCTGACAATATTTGCAAAAAGGGAGAGCAATATTACTTACATATCAAGTGTTAAATCACACACTACGCAGTAGATTAGAGTACTACGTAGTAGTGTATATTATTGCGTTTTAGTTCAAAATGTAACATACCTTTAACTAGGAGTGCGCATGTACTGGGATATGTGTGTACAGTATAAAACATGTGGCTGACTGAAGGCTATAAGCATATACAGGAGGATCTCGCAATAGGCGAGGGATTCGTAGAACATGAGGCGAGAATTCTGTTTGCCGCATCGTTCACTGCAAGACATGCTTCTCTGAATCGGGTTGTTACCGTTAGAATGAATGTACAACGCAGCGGAAACAAATTCCGCTGTTATCGGTCTGCTGCCGGTGAAGCCCATGATTCAGGCATTGATACTTGAACTCAATTTAAAACTTAGCTAATACGGACAGGATCTGCAGTCAGAAGAGCTATTACTCGCTTGGCATTGGATAGAATGACTGGATCTTCTGAGATTCAAAGGGGAAGTATTCCTCTTTTTCGACATGTCGAAGATGTTATTGTTTTTATCGGTCGACATCGTGCAGAAAAACAAGGAAATGCGTCCCTAGAGATGTGTGCCGTCAAAGCGCGTGAATCTGAGATGTATTGGATGCTGCATCTTGTGGATCAGGATATTATGCAAGGTGATGAGGACAAAGAAGTACTTGAGGTCCTCAAAAAGATACGTGACCGACACCAAGCTTGGTTTGCGGTCAAGCTGGCTGACAGGAAGAACAACGTCCCGTCGGTAAACATCAAAGGTGTAGCATACAGATTCGACAACGTATTCGCGCTATGTATGTTCGATGGAGGGCCTAAAGCTAGCTGTCGAGTTGGTACAGTAACTGCGACTATATTTGGCTTTATAAAAATAGGTAAACCACGGGATCCTTCCCACTTTCGAAATCTTTCTCAAAGTTGCTATCGCATCACTGCCACCACGATAGACGCAGGAGTCAATTCTAATGGTACGACGGAAACATTGTGACGAAGGATCTGCGCCCACGTACGTCTTAAAGCTAGTAGACACAGACAATACAGCACACCAGCCTCTGTTGAGCACTACAAATGTTCCAGACCCCAGTCGAGCATTTCCAAAGGTTCATGCAACTCCGCCACTTTAAGCGCACGTACAGAGACGATTTTGGAGGAGATATCGACAGCAGAGCTTAAGGAAGCCTGCACGGCGCTTAGTCTTAAACTACGCAGGGAGAAGAAAGGAAAGCGAAAATACGAAAGGCGACAGAAATTGGAGTCATACCGCCTATCGGACACAGAAACAACTGTTCGGCAAACTGCTACAAGGCCGCCGGAAACGAAAACCGACCGGTAGATTATTTTCGTTTATCCAAGAGCAGTCACTTCACAACATGCTCAGATCACCCCCACGTGCTAGCAACCATGGAAAAGGATATTGTTTTAGAGTTAAAAGAACCGTTGAAAGTACAACGCGAAATTGCGGCTGGAACTCGCGCTAAGACTGCTTCAGAATTAATGGAAGAACTGACGATTTTTCAAGCACTTCACTATGATCAACTTGCTGTCATGCAACATCGAATGGACGTGCTAGAGAAGGACCTAGCTTGAGCACGTACAAACACTCACGAACTTCAGGTCCAGCTAAAGCGTATGTAAGAGGAAAACAGCGACCTTCAGGAACAATCACACTGTTTCTATAGCCAAATCACTACCCACAACATCTCGACTAAACCCATTCCTGGGAAAAACCTGTCCAATTACAAGTATGCAACTTACTGGTTGGGTTTATGCGTACTATCCATTTGAGTCACCTCAGGGAAGTTGTCCAACATCGCACGCATTTGCCCGCTCGTAAAGGAAACCACACGAGTATCTCTACGTGCACGTTCGTGCACCGAAGAAACATACGCCGATGCCTCTCTGTTGAAGTCCGCAATCATCTCGGCTACGGCATTGTGGTGGAGTGGGATTCGCAAAATCGCGTTGCGATCCACTCAGACACACAGTGCCCTGGACTGCCGACTGACGGAGGGGGTACTCCGATAACCGTGGGGTTGCT